TCCTCTGAAATGTGATTCCCAAAATTATATCACTTGAGAGGGGCTGATACCACTTTCAACGCTGGATCTAATTAACTCTGTTTGATGAAACACAGTGAAAATCCAAGCTGCAGGTATCTGAATATAAATGTAGATTCCTGAGGTGCAGGTCAAGGATATCTTGACAGGCGCAGAAGGAGGAGGTCACATCTTTATTGATTATATGCTGAGCTATCACAAAGCTAAAGAGAGTAGAAAAGGAATTACTTGCATATGAATTTTCTAAAATGAACTGGATTGGGGCCTCACATTCTAACATCAATTATTGAACTTTCCTACTGTGCCACTCACCTTCTGTGTCCTTGCACCCAAACCTGAAGCTCCAGGGGATAGGGCCTCAGTTCATACGGTCAGTACACTGAGTCTAGTGATAGTTTTATTGCTACACATCACCAAGAACATCAGATACAGAAAGACCTTAGTTCAAAACCAAAATTATTCTATAAGAATTCACATTTGTCATTGCACCCATTGCTTACTTGAATCCTAATAATGATGTCTGCTAATACATTCCTCCATACTCTTCAGGGACCTCACACCGTGCTTGTTTGCTGTGGTGGTTGTACACTCTTGACACAACCTGATAATAGGGGATGGTATGAGTATTCAGTTAGTGTATCATGATTGTGAACCATAATTTGAACACCCATTTGTTTGGTGAAGTGAGAGATTAAATATTTTGCCTAATCTTTGAAGCTGTTTTTTTGTTTCTTTTTACATACTGAATTTTGAGATTTCTTTGTATATTCATGATAAATGTCTTTTAACAGATGGGTGTTTTGTGGATATTTTTTCTTAGATTATGGCTTGTCTTTTTATATACTGAGAAGTATTTTCTGAGGAATAGAGGATTTTTATTTTAATTAAATTCAATTTGCTAATATTTCCCTGATAGGCTGCATTTTTAGTCATCACTAAGATTTTCTGTTATGTTCTTTTTAGAACTTTTGTAACTTTTGGTTTTACATTTTTTGCAATTTCACATTATGAGTAATATTTGAATATAGGACAAAATGTAGGTCAAAAGGATTTTTATACATGTGTGTATTGAATTATTTCAGTATAGTCGACTGAAAGAACATTCTTTCTTCACTGAATTGCCCTTGCCACTTTCTTAAAAATTAGTTGTCTGTACATGAATTGATCTATTTCTAAATTCTCTGTTGTGTTCATTGATTAATTTGATTTTATGCCAACACCACACTGCTTTGATTGCTATAACTTCATAATGAGACTTGAAATTAGGTAGCTTTAGTTCATGAATTTTGGGTTCCACCACCCTAAAGTTTTTTGGGGCAATTTTAGGTCCTTTGCATTAACTTATGAATTTTAGATTCAGCTTTTCAATATCTACCAAAAAACCCATCTGGAATTATGACACATTTGGATTGAATCTCCAGATCAATCTGGGAAGGGCTGGTTTCCTATCAATATTGTATCTGCTAACCTAAGAACACACTATAAATTTCCATTTATTTAGGTTTTAAAAAAATTTATCTCACTAATGTTTTGTTGATTTTGGTGTGCAGGTGTTACTGATGTTTTGTCAGATTTATCCCAAAGTATTTCAATATCCTTAAGGCTATTTTAATTTAAAAATTATTTTTCAAAGGCTTACCGCTAGCATATAGGAATATCTTTGTTTTGTTGTATAGTGATCTTCCGTCTTTCAACTTTGCTAACTTAGTTATTGGTTCTAATAACTTTGCATATTCCATTATATTTTCTACATAGATGATCATGTCATATGTGAATAATGGCAGTTTTAATTATTTCTTTTCAATCTAGATGAATGTATTTGCTTATTCCTTCCTTTCTGCCATGGCTGGAACTGCCAGTGGAATGTTGAAGGGAAGTGGTAAAAGTGAACACGCTTGTTGTCATCTTGGTTTCAGTGCAAAGTGTGGAGGGTTTCTTGGAGACAATTATTAGCTTTTGCTTTGTTATCCAGTCTAATACTCCCTGCCTTTTGTGTCATTTAGAATATGTACACTTATTTATATGGTTACTTACATGTTTAGGTTGAAATCTACCACCTTCCTTTTTTTTTTGGTACGTGTCCCATTTGTTTCTGTCTCCTCTTTTTCTGCCTTCTTTAGGTTTGAGTATTTTTCATGAATCAGTTTTATCTCTTTTGTGGTATTATGCACTGTGCATGTTATTTTCGTGTTGCTTTAGTATTTTTAGGATACATCTTTGACTTAACCCTCTCTCGTTTCAAGTGGCATCCTATCCATTCACATGTGCCATAAAAACATTCCTTACAGTATTATGTTTTCATTTCTCCCCTTCCAGCCTTTGTTTTGTTGCTGTAATATATTTTAGTCTGTATATATTATAAACCTCATACTCTGTAATGATTTTTAAACAATGATATTTTAAATAGACTAAATGAAAAAATATATATAACTCACACAGTCACAATTCTCAGTGCTCTTCGTTCTGACATAATCTTTTAAAAAGATATCCCACAGATCACTGATGCTCTGCCATTTAAAAAAAGTCATTTTTCTTTCCTTGTCATATTTTGTTTAATTTATGTTACTGCGTTGAAGTTCACTAATCTTTTCTTCTGAAATATCTAGTCTGCTGTTGATCCCATCTCAGCCATTAAAGGTCTCACCTCTGGAAGTTAAATTTGAGTCTTTTTAATATCTTTCATGTATGTACTTAACGTCTTCAATAGATCCCCTGACTTTTTGAACATAGGGAATATAGTTATAAATATGATTTTAACACCCAATTTGCTCATTCCAACAGGTGTATCACTTCTTGGTTTGTTTCCATGATCAATTTTTCTGTTCATTGTGGATACTATTTTCCTGCTGTTTTTGTATACTTGGCAATTTTTTTTTGTTGGATTCTAGACACAGTAAATTTTGCCTTGTTGGGTATTCAGTATTTTTGCAAATAATCTTGAACTCTTTGGGGGCTACTAAATTATTTGGAAACAATTTCATCTCTTCAGGGCCTGAATTTGAAATTTTTTAGTTGGGAACAGAGCAGCATTTAGTTTAGGACGCATATTTCCCTCCACTGAAGCAAAACACATCTAGTACTCCACCCAGTGCCCTGTCAGTTATGCAGTTTTCAGTATGGTTGGCAGGAACAGGCACCATTTCTTGTAATTTATGAGCCCTGAGTTCTCTTTCTTTTCAGGCAGTTCTTTGCCTGACCTTGGGCAGTTTCCTAGAGTGCATGTGCTGATCATTATTCAGCTGAGCACTTGAGGGAGGCATTCTTTAGAACTTTAAAGTTTTTCTCTATGCAGCTTTGTCCCCTCTGCTACTCTGCTCTGTGAAATGTAACCACCCTGGTCTCTCAAGACATTTCAAGAGCCAGCCTTGGTCAAGCTGGGTTTTTCTTCCTTTGCTGTACCTTGGGAACTCTCTCAAGGTAGGAGGCTGGAATGGTAGTGGGGCTTATCTTGTTTGCTGCCCATGATTCAGAGGTCATATATTTTGTTTTTCTTTTTTAATTGATTCAAGCAGGAAGGTACATCTGGTCCCTGTTACAGGGAAGCAAAAATTCTACAATGATTTGTTTTTAATGGTACTATCCAGTGAATTGGTGGGTAAATTTGTGTGACAGTGCTTCCAGTGGGATATTGATTGGCATTCCTTTGGGGCGGGAAATCTGTTCTATGCATATACATCACAGAAAAAGCATGTATCTCATAACCCAGAAATTTTGCTGACCTATTTAATAATAAGATTTTAAAAACTAATTGTACTGATATGCATTTGGCATTAATGTAACTTGTAGATGTAAATATGAAAAATACTCATAAGGCCGGGTGCAGTGGCTCTCACCTGTAATCCCAGCACTTTGGGAGGTCAAGGCAGGGGGATCACAAGGTCAAGAGATTGAGACCATCCTGGCCAACATGGTGAAACACTATCTCTACTAAAAATACAAAAATTAGCTGGGCGTGGTAGCATGCTTCTGTAGTCCCAGCTACTCAGGAGGCTGAGGCAGGAGAATTACTTGAACCTGGGAGGTAGAGGTTGCAGTGAGCCAAGATCACGCCACTGCACTCCAGCCTGGTGACAAAGCAAGACTCTTGTCTCAAAAAAAAAAAAAAAAAAAAAAAAGAAGAAAAATAAAAATACTCATAAAAGGACTGGATGATTTGAAGAGGTCAATGCAAATAAATATGTGGGACTTTTCCAAAATTAAAAATTCAAGATGGTAAAGGCAGAACATCAAAGTACAGGGCTCATTTATGCACAGTTGCATAGATTGTACACCCGTGATGCCAGCCCTGACCTATACATTCAATATTTACCTGAGTTTGAGCTATAGATAGTAAATTAAGTTGCTTGATGGTTTGATTTAGTAAATTATTGAACATATATAAAATGCAACAGTATAAAATCATTAAAATTCATTTTAGGAGACTCTTTAATTTCAACTGTTAACTTTTACACTATGACATGCTATGAAATGTGACTAGGGTGAAGGCTACAGATGGGAATGTTGAAGAATTAAGTTGCATGGATTCTAAAGGGCCTTGTCTATCTTGGATGCAATTAAATAGTTACACTTTATTCTTTTGGCAGTGACAAACTATGCATGTTTTAGAGTAGAAGGGTACTGTGATCAACTCTGTACTTTTAGGAAGATAATTATTACAAATGGTTCAAGTTTTATAAAAAAACAAAATCCTATTTACAAATGAAATAAAAACCAGTAAGTAAGTACTTTTTTTGACCTTCCTACTATCTACCCTGATTTTCTTCTTTCTGTCTGCTGTTCCTTGACCCAGTTCCCCAGAAGTCTTGCATATGTTCTTTTCCTTGTTGGTTAGCTGGGGAAATACATCTTTTCCCAGGTTAGCTTCAGTTCTCAACTCCCAAAATTGGCATTGAGTTTTTTTTTTTTTTTAATCTATGGGCATTTGGAATAAGCCATATCACAGTTTGTAATAATTTGATATTTCCTTGTATTCTTTCTTTTAGTGTGCTCGGTATGATAATGCCTTCATTGCAGAAATTCTGATTGACAGAGGAGTCAACGTTAACCACCAGGATGAAGATTTCTGGACGCCCATGCACATTGCCTGTGCATGCGATAACCCTGATATTGTCCTGCTTCTTGTATTAGTAAGTAAAGCAATTCAGTTTACCATTTGAAGATCTGATGACATGTAAAAGGCTATATATTTAACTAATGATATTTTACAATATTTAATATTTTAGTTGAGAAAAAATCTGCATATGTTATGTATCCCTCTAGAACACAAGATAATTATAGACTAAGGTTGCGGGTCGTATAGTTTATAAAACAAATTGTGCAGATACTATGCCAAATGCAACTTCTCTTGCCTTTCCTTGGGGATTATATGCCTTGATACAAGTCAGTTTCAACTAAAATGGTTTGATAATTTTGTTTTTCAATTCATTCTCATTTTTAAATTTTTAGCCAAAGAGGCATAACATTATAAGGAGATATGGTTTATATTGAATCTTTTTTTTTCTTGGTTACATCTAGTAAAGAAGTGTCTACAATGTTTGTTTACATGAAAACGAGAACTTTAAATATAAAAAGCATTGGAGTTTGTTGTTTTGGTTGTTATTTTCAGTTAATCTTACATCCAGACATTGATCCTCACACATGCTTTATTTTGGAATAGTAATCTCTAGAAAGTATTTCGAGAAGCTATTTACAATTTTTAGAAAATACACTGGAATATATGAGTAAGAATGATTTGCTTTTATTTATTTAAAAAATTAACTTCTTAATGGCTTGCTATTATGCACCTGGATTTCACATTTTTTAATGTAAGCTCAAGATTTTACACAAAAGCAAACTAATGCTCAACTTGCCCTAAGCCAAAAGCAAACGATAGTTAAGAACTCAAGTTCATTGTCAGAAGTCCATTTTTTGTCACTGAGCCATGCTACCAGTATTAGTTTCCTGTGCCTGCCATACCATTAAGACATAGTTGATGGCTGTACACAAGCACAGTTGTAGAGGTTAGAAGTCTGAAGTCAAGGTGTGGACAGGGCCATGCTTCTGCTGTAGGCCCTAGTGATGAAACTTTTCTTGGTGCTTCCTAGTTATGGTGACCCCTGCAGTCCCTGATGTTGCTTAGATTATAGCAGCATCACTCCTGTCTCTGCCTCCATCAGCACATGACTTTCTTCTGTGTCACTGTATCCAAATCTCTCATGTTTTCCTTTCAGAAGACACCAGTCATAGGATTTAGGGCCCACCCTCAGGCAGATGGCCTCATTTAACTTGATTACAGCTCCAAAGACCTTATTCCCCAATAAGTTCACATCTACAGTACTAGGGAGCATAGCTTTTGGTGGAAAACATTTTAAATATACCATACTGCTCCTCTTCCCCCCTTTTTAAAATTATGAACGAAAATATTTTGCTGTGAAGAGGGACTGTCGTAATCTTGTATGAGGTGTAATTTTGTCCCGTTTTCTCTGATTTGTCCTTCAAGAATACGTACACTTCCTTTTTTTCAGTAGAAGCATATGTCACTAAAAATGTATGTCTTTCAAATTCTGGAAGATGGAGGGTATATTAATAAGGAAAGACAAAGGAAATAAAGATTATTTAGCTTGAAATATAAACTTTTAGAGGGCTAGTACTCTACATAAAAAGGCATGAAAAGCTGCCTGACTCATTTATAAAACAAGATTTGGGTTTTGTAGATACAGAGCCTACCTAAGAGGCACTAAACTGTCAGTTCACCATAAAGGCCATAGGATTTCCCCAGAATTGTGAAAAGCTATAAAATATAGTACAGAAAGGAACCAAGTCACCTCTCAAGTAATACTGTAACATGATCAAGTTTAGAAACCTTTAGAATGCTGACAACTCATAGAGTACTCGGGTTATTTAAGGAGGAACTAAGTTCATAGTACTTGTTTGATACATTTTTTGATAGTTCAACTAGCTGCTTTAATTATAAGAGAATGAGATAGAAAAGTTTGATTCATGACTTTCACAGTTTTTCTATGTTCTCATTTGTTTTTTTCTAAATACTAGTTTTAAGAAATCAGTAATTTTTTTCAAAGCCCATCCTTATTTCTTTTCTCTAATTATTATTAATTACATTAAGCCATGCCGAAAAACCTCTTTCTTCTGCATGCAAAATGGCCATACTTATTCTTACAAATGAATATTCATGTGGTTGTGCTTAAAATGTTAAAATCCTTCTTCCATTTCCTCAATGCAAATGTCTGGACACAGGCTTCAGTTTCTTGAGTTCAGACAGGTTTGTGAGATCTCAGTTTCACTGCCAGCCAGGATTCCCTTCCTCCATTCTGAATGTAGCAGTTTCTTATTTCTAATGGGAAAGAGCAAGAAGATCTGCCTTCTTTCTGTAATCTCTACTGAGTCTAGATCTTGGTATCTCACATGATACTCACAATTGAATATTGCAGAAACAGCCCTGAGTTGATGAACCAAATTATGACAAAAAAAGAAAAGAGTTAGATCTGAGTTACATTTCAAGCAAAATAGCTCATAAAATAACAGTGTAGTGACTCAGGTGCAATATCTATAACTACATGAAGTGACTCCCCTTTGGCATCTTGGAGACTGGTATCACAGATAGCATATGATAAGGTTTGGCTGTGTCCCCACTCCAATCTCATCTTGAATTGTAGTTCCCATAATCCCCACACATCATGGGAGGGGCCCGGTGGGAGGTAACTAAATCATGGACATGGTTTCCCCCATGCTATTCTTGTGATAGTAAGTTCTCATGAGATCCTGTGGTTTTATAAGGGGCTTTCTCCTTCACTGGGCTCTCATTATTTCTCCTGCTGCTCTATGAAGAGGTGCCTTCCGCCATGATTATAAGTTTCCTGAGGCCTCCCCAGCCATGTGGAACTGTGAGTACGTTAAACCTCTTTTCTTTATAAATTACCCAGTCTCGGGTGTTTCTTCATAGCAGCATGAGAACAGACTAATACAGCATAATTGTCAGAACTAGAATTTATAGTCTAGAGGTAGCAAAACACTTAGACTATCCTGAGCACAAGAAGGAGGCATGTTTATAACCAGAGCCAGGACTGGGGCAGGTCGCCAGGACTGGTATCTGGGATAACAACATAATTATAAGAATAAATTAGACATACTGGCAAGTTACTCAGACCTTTCCTGTGACTCCTTGTGTAACTGAGGTAATAGACATTAGCCTTCTTCATGTTGAGGCTAAGCAGCATCTTCCAAAGGAAATTTGATTTAAAAATGGCACCAATCCTGGTCTCCTAAATGAATGTTTAGAAAAAGGGGAACAATTTGGAGAAGTGTTATAGTGTCCTAACTAGGAATACCCTCACGTCATTGTCTGACCCAGCGCTAAGTTCATTAGGATGTGGAGAGTTCTAGACACTCCTTCTCTCTACTTTTATTTTATCTTCCTATTCTTTGATACATGCCCACATTTACTGTTAAGATTACCATTACATTATCTGTGTTCCTTGATATTTCATCCCATTATGAATATTGTACTTGTTTAAATAATGACGTATTTTTCTCTTTGTTCTTATGAGATACAGTTTCTGTAACTCCTATTTGTTCCCATGGCAACAACTCAATTGCAGTAATGACCAGTTGCCTTTAAAATAAACATCTCTTCTGCCTGGAACAATTCGATGTATATTCAGTAATTCTTTATCTAACTAACACCAGCTTCAGGTTCGGCATTTAATAAATAATTAGCTTCTAACAAGTCACAGAAGTAGTGCATGCATACATTGCTGTTTGTTAAAACAGTGCCTAGCACTTGATAGATGCTTAGTGTATGCTTGAATATCATCTCTCAAGCTAAGTATATGAATCAACAAATGAATGAATGAAAGCAGGCCAGTTTTTGTAACTCTCCCTGAAAAATATTGACAATATTAATTCATATGTAATAAAAGCTGTCATATAACCACATCCATCCTTTTACATATTCTAGACTTCTTTACCTCACGTGTTCTACGCTTATATTACAAGTGCTTGCTTTAGCACACAAATTATCTCAATATCTGATGAGTTTGCTTTTCCTTACCGAACAGAATTGAGGGAGAAAAAAACTAGTTGTATTTCATGGATGATCATAGAGTTAATCTATAATTTTCAAATTATTAGCAATATTTTCATGGCTCAGCAGTGCCGTTTCTCACAATGTAGAATAATCCAACGTAATATACAAAGGAATATATCTGTTAGTTGCCCTCATTCAATGACTTCTACTAACCGATCATCATCTTCATTCACTTAACTAATAAATATGAGTGATCACCAATTATATATGAACATAAGGCCTGCCCTAAGGGAAATTACAGCTTGTTTATTCATTCCTTCATTTACTAAATATTTATTGAATGATTGTTATGTTTTAGATGCTGCATGGCAAATGAGAAGATATACTCTACAGTAGTGGTGAAAACAAACAATGCCATTAATCAAATGAACCCCTGGGAAATTTGATTAATGGATTAAGCAAATCTGAGTAGCTGTATTCATACCATGTTACAGCCAGCCTAAGTATCCATCCACAGAAGCAATTTACTCTAAATAAATGTTGATAAAATATGTTGTCACAAAAATTCTAATTACTGTAAAAATACATTCCTGCCAATAACCTCAAAAGAGAAATGTATTTTACTTGCCAGACGAAATGCTACTGTCCAGTGTTGAAGGCTGCATGCTCCATCTTCTTTCCATTTTCCAGGGCTAGATGATGGACCAGAGAGACTGCGCAGGACTGATTCATGTATTAAATCTGTGGTAGCCGTCTGTGTGTACTCAAGGGAGTCAGCAGTGAGCACAGGCAGGAAAAGCCCTGCCTTTTAGAACTTACATTCTATTAAGGAAAAGCAGATGAAACACATAAATGACTCAAATTTATAGTATATCAACTAGTAAGAGGTTTTGGAAAGGTCAGGAAGAAAGGAACAGAGTATTAAGGATGGCCCAATGAAAAAGGTGACGTATGAGCCGGGAGCTACGTTGATACGTGGGTGCAAGTGTGCCGGCCACAGGGGATGGTACGTAGAAAGCTATGTAGCAGGGTCTATGTGTTGGAGGGACAGCAAGGAGACCAGCACAGCTGCAGTGAAGTGACAGGGGGTCGGGGGATAGAGGA